AACTGACGTGTTCGGGCTCCTAAATCCATACTTGTATTTCCATATTTTGTTAAAATTGTTCTCTAAATTTCTCAGATTTGCCTATGTATGTCGCGTATAGACGAAGAATATTATTGTAACAGCCGGACATCCTGGAAGTAACTTCCGTTTGCGTTTCGAAAATTTGTCTTTGTCACAATTCACGGATGTGGCCGGATTAGTTGAGATTTGGGGTTCTCACGGCCTGGTGATGGATAATAGATAATATCCCAAAGTCTGAACTAATTTTAACTTAATATTTTGTTAGTACGGGAATATCATACAAATGGCGAGTTTATTTTAAGTTATAAAAGTTTAAAAATATCTGTCGCTTGCTTGCTCAAATATTTGTGTATATATTAACGGGAAAAAAGAAGACCTCTGCAGTATACGAACTAACGTACTTGTTCCCGTCAGGAAACATATTTTGCGTTTTATGTTATTTTTTTACGAAAAAGCCCTGCTTGAGAGCTGGTTTCTTGTCGAAGCTGCACTTGTTCCACTCTTACTGTCGTAACTGTGGTGATTGTGAGTAACAATAAGACCCCGAATGCACCAGATTCTGGCGTCTTAGGAGGTTGGTGGTTCGGAGCTTCGCCATCGTCTCCTGACAGCAACTTCTTGAGGGTTCACAATGCTTTCCCAAACCGACGGCTGTCTGACAACGCCCTCATGATGCCTCCCAAGATTCGCGTAGCACCATCGTGCGCCTCCTCCCCGGGTGGTACTCCAGGTGGCGGAGGCCTTCCAATCAGACGTCACTCCAGCATCGGACCCCAAGAGCGACGAGGGTCGACCGTCAACCTCTCACCCCCAACGGTGAGTACGATTCTACTAGAAAATGTCTTTGTCGCTGGGGAGTCGTCGTCGTTCCAGTAGGTAGGTCTGGCTGTCTCGATTAAATACTTAAACACTCTTTTTCGCATCCTAAAAGAATGTAACAAGGCCGTCGCCAAGAACAAGACATTCACGCCCATTTGTCGAAATCTTGCCCAAAATATGCCAACGACTTTTTCTAGTATGACTCGTCGGAAATGTTAAGTCCCGCTAGTACGAAATTCCCAGTCTTGCATTCTGGGCCTATGGCCTGGCGGACTTCCGGTTCCGTAATTACTGTAGTATTATCTGTGCCCACCAGATGGCAGGAGCTACTTCATAGGTATTTGAGGATGTTGCTTGGACCCCTCTTGCGTCAAGAAACTAAAAGTTAAGGCCATAAAATGACATGAATTCGACGAAAAGAAACGTAATTATAATAGAAGGATGATATTACAAATTTCGTACGCTGACCTTGTTAAAAATAAATGATTTCCACGTGACTATTCGAAACATTCTTTTCTGTCTCATAACAGTGCAGTGGCTTCTGAGAATATAGAAATATGTGTTTGTTTTACCAACTCATAAATTTTCCTTTAGCTAAAGCTTTCTGCAGAAAGTATACCCCAGACACCTTTTCTGGGAAAGTAAATAGGGAAGGGTCGTGATTAACCCACGTGTCTTTGTTCTTTGTCCCTTGTGTATGATCGTCAGCCACACGAGGCTGCAACAGCGAACCGTCTCTTGAGAAAACATATTTCGACAACATGTATTTTTTAACCCCCCCCCCCCCCAGTGCCTCGTTTAACACCACGTACAAATTCGCCTTTCCTATTACTATTATTCTTCTTCTTCTCTATTTTATACTTAATAATATTTATCAGTCTAAGCGTACATTAATGTCACATTTAGTGGCTGTGCTAGACACCATTCCTACTTAAGTTGCTTTACTTTAAGACACAAAAAGATCAGTCATATTAAACTTTTCCTCCCAAGAACTCAAATCCTGCTTTTGGCGTAGTGCCTGTAGGAAGATGTCCTCGATATACTTTTCCCAGGAGCATAAATAACTGTTGATCATTGGTATATCTGTCAATCCATTACACAAAATCTTTATCAGTAGCGAAATCGTACGCCTTATTGCGAAAGACAGACGTTTCAAATGGCGAATAAGATAATTACCATAATGGCACGACATTTTACGCATTTATAGTGGACCTGAGAAACAAAAATTATAGATAGTATAAATCCTTCGCCAGTTATATAAAAGTATATGAGCAATTAACGGGACAGAAGGTTAATGAGTGGGGGAAAAAAATCTAATATTTTAGTCCCATTTATCCGGCCCCGAACGAGACCGAATGACGGTCGGTTAATCGAAAATGTCGGATAATACGAACGACCGTCAAAATACAATATGGCATCAAAAAATATTATTTCGTATTATCTAAATTTGTAAATAAAAGACTTTTTTTTAAAGGAATTAGTAATGGTGGTTTGCATCTGAGCTTCCGTTTTCTTTGCGGTAAGGTCACGCCAGCGGCAACTCAGTAGAAAAATGTGTCGAGTTGGCATCAGATAAAATAGAGCATTCAGACACGGCACATCGTATAAAATGAAATGTCTGATAACCTAACTGAAGGTCGGATAATCGGGACTCCACTGTAATAAAAAAAAGTATCAAAACTTTGTCCCATTTTGTGCTGTTAATGGTCAGCGGAAAAGGGTTTAATGCTGATGTCCTTGTTCCCGTTGTGATCATGGCCGCAGGGCGGACTGCACTACAGCTCAGTATCGAGGGAGGGCTCGAGCTTGTCCGTGCCATCGACGTATGTAAGTCAGTCACACTGCTCACCAACTGTGTTTCTGTTATTCTTCCTCCGTCCGCCTTCTGTTGCCTCAGTTTGCTGCTGCCATAACATTTATTATTTTGTTTTGTTCTTAACTTTTGCTCTAATATTTCTCTTTCAGCCACCATTAGGGAAAACAACGCACAAAATATGTGGCGGTAATAGTTTTACACGGCCAATATTGATGATGTGTATGATTTAGCATGTTACGATCATCACAGTTATGTGAAGGGTACATCATTGCATCACGTGAGTCATGTTGAGTCATGACAGGAAATGACAATGTTCTGAATCGTGCTTCAGAGGACAGATGCATATGCGCAGGTTTAGTAACCGTAGGAAACATAGGTAAACAAATTACCATATATATGTGCTTGTGAGGTAAAGTTTTCTTTCGATTTTGTGTGGTTACATTTTTGTGCATTCGTTTTGTAAATCTAAAAAAGGAATGGGCTAAATAATCCATGTCAAAAATGCAGTGACCGCTAATTTGATTTATGTAAGGTAATTCTTGTTAATTTTACACAAGATGCATATATTTTGCAGAATTATTGAACTTGACACAGTTATCTGCATCAGTCATGTAATAAAATACTGTAGTGTTTATTGAATGGTATTCTTTTCTTCCAAAACAATAAGAAAAGAATTTAGTAAATAATTCCAATGCTATTTATTTATTTATTTAACACCATAGCATATATCTGGTATTTTAAAGTTCACTTCCCAAAATCGCAGAGATCTTCATATTATTCTATTGTAAGTTAATGACTTGCAGGGTTACAAGTTTCTTAATTTATAAATAGTAAGTTCATGTTTGTAAATTGTTGGTGCAGAAAATCTTTCTTCTGGTGGTGTGACAGTCTGATGACATTAGGGTTTATTACTGGATTAATTCCTCATAAATGCTTGTAAGCAATAGTGGTTGGGCTATCTTGTGGTTAGTTTTGCAGTAACACTGTAGTTGACTGTAAATTATTGTCATAACTATTTAATTTATATTTGAGTTAGAAACAATTATTGTACATGTGCTATGACATATTCTACATCCTTGACTTGGGCCAATGAAGGATCTGTGGGATGTAAATAAATTCTATTCTATTCTGTTAGTAAGAGGGGTTGGTGTCAATTGGAATTTGTACTGACTTTAGGCAAGGACCAAGTAATATTGTTCTTTGTTACTTGGAGAATGGTTCATGAAAGAAATTAGACTTTAGACATCAATATGGACTGTCTTCATGTGTATGCGAGTCTTTGATATGACCTTGAAGAACATCAATAATGTCTTAAAATGTATTCCTGAGTGGATGAAAGGTAGCTTTATTAATTGAAATTACAGTGCATCACATTACATGTATAACACTGCATTTAATAGCCCTTGAACAACATATGTTAACCTGTATAAAATTTGGATTTGAGATTCTCACAGAGCTGAGTACAAAGATGGTTGTCTTGTGGATTGTAGCAGCGTGTAGTCTGGTAGAAGTTTATGAAGTTAATTTTATATTTATTTCAATAGTTTTCCAAAATGAAAATCACATATATATGTTAATTTAATTAGTTTGAATGTCATATAATTTAAAGGAGGTAAAGTTACTGTACTTTTTGTCATATTGTTTGCACTTCTTTTTTTTAACTTTTGTATGTAATGTTGCATAGTTGTCTTATGTAGCTTCAGCAGTAGCTACTGGAAGAATGTAATATAATTTTTACAGCATCAGCTGACAGTAATATGAACAGGTATACATGCCACACACCATGTATGTTTGGCATAAACATAATGATGAACATTGTACATATTCCTGATCTGCACTGTAATGTGACATGACAACACAGTTGATGTGTTGGAAATGAGTTTCCATGGCATTTGCTTCCACAAGAAGCTAATAACAATGAATTTGATCTGGTAGACTATTCAGGTTTTACCTATTACTTTCAGGTCACATAGAGTGGAACCCCATTATACCTTAACTGTCCAGCATTGGGTTTCTTGCTTCAGCTCCCTACATAACCCTACTTAGAGTTCAGTGGCACTGATTTTTTTTATATTTAAATACCAGTCACCTAGAGTCATACAAATCATTTGACAGAAGTATGTAGAGAAAATAAAATGCCACTAACAAATGATGTTCGAATATGGATGGAGGTTACTTATTGGACTAATCATGTACAATAATGTATTAAAGCACTGCATTTCCAGTTCAAATCTCTTTCATATAAATGTCTTTTTGTGTGATAGGTTAACTTTGAACTTTGTTGTATGAGGATAATAAACGTAGTACAATAAGTATTTTACGATTTATTAAATTGAGTGATTATATCACAAATAAAATTAATAGCAGAAAAAATTAAAATTCATTGGTATACTTTTATGGCTGAGGGACATTTAGCAGACAGTTACATGAATACTTAAAATATAGGTATTATAGTGTGTACCATTTAAAATGCAATACAACAGTCACATCCTATGGTACAAAAATTAAATCAGAAGCAGGTCCACCTAAAATGTAACAGACTCTCCCACATGAGTTAAAGTTACTTACCAAAATATTACTTCATGTCAAAATCTTTTGCTGCTGTTTGTGAAGCATTTAGCAATGCATATCCTGACAAAGAAATACCAAGACAACAGAACAGCAACTTTTAATAGCATTTCATGACACAAAATATTTGCAACCAGAAGCATGAGCATTGTCCTCCACTACGAACACAATAAATGCTATACTGTAAGAGTTCTTTGGTTTGTATATTGTTGAGTGTGGCCTTTGGCCACCACTATCTCAAGACTTGAGGGGTGGGGGGGGGGGTGTTAATCTGCTGTGCTTGGAGGAATTAAAACCCAATACTAAACAGTCTGTTGCCAACACTGACCTAGAATCGTTTTATTTGAAATTGCACAAAATATACTAAAAAGGATGGATGCTTATTTTTGAAAAGATTGTGTACATTTTCAGCATCTGCTGTAAAACTATTCTCTAACTACTTCCTAATAAATAAAAACTAATATGCAACTTTCTTGTCTTGTTATAATCATGTCAACAAAGCATACAGCTACTGTTGTAGATGATATTGTTTTTTAAATGGAAAAATATTGAAGTTTATAAGTAAAAACTATGGTGGGTGATGGATGTCTGAAAGAAGCTTTGTAAAGCTTGAAGTTATTATTTCATGAAGTCAGGTTATTGGTTACTGGGTTTTAATTTTGTATATTTTATTGTATACTAATCCCTGGCGTAACAGCCCTCTGAGAGCCAAAGCCGACTAGCTGGCTGCTGACCTCATGTTCACATGCCTAAGCAGAGGTGAACGATCATCCAACCAGATATAGGGTGACGTGTGGTCAGCACGACGAACCCCCAACCATTGCTAGTTTTCCTGACCGGATTATGCTACTCATTGTAGCTCCCCAATTTCCTCACCGGGTTGGCACCGGTCCCATAAACTGGTCGAAAGCTCATGAAAACATTTCTGCTCCCCCCGAGATTCGAACCAGCGCGCATTCCGTATCGCCGGTCCGAAGCATGATGCCTCAGACCGCGTGGCTACGGCGCAGGACTTATTGTATACTACTGTACAGTAAAATTATTATGTAATCCTGACCTGCCTTTACCCATAAAGGAAAATAGAAAAGTAAAATAAAATTATTGTTAAGTCCAATAAATAACCCCCATTCATTTTAAATATTCCCTCAAAAAAATTTTGGCCGTGTAAAATATTATAATTATGCTTTATGTTGCATGCTTCTTTTTTGCATATAGGAAAGTTGTTGTGTCCTCGTCTGGCAGATTTGTGCGTGTCCAGCGTCTTTTGTCCTTCTGTCTCCATTAAGTGTCTTCTTGAAGCAGAATCTTCGCAGAAGAGAGGCAGTCTTCAACAGACCCTTTAAAACTGTGTCTTTGTAATTGTAGTAGCATTATTTTGTGATGTTGTTAATTTACATATTGACGGTTTATGCTGAGACAGGTGACCATCAGGACATAATTGTCTCCATGTTCATGCGTCCATTGTAAAGTATGTCGAGAAAAGTAAACACTTGTTATGTGTATGTGTTTGTATGTTGCTTTGTGAACTGATTGTTGCTATCTGTTCTCTTCTATCCAGCTTGCACGGAGCATGATCGTGAGTACCGAATGGTGTTGACACAGATACATGTATTGTTGGATGTTGTAAATTGTAGATAGTCATGGAGGTGAGAGATAAAGTTTCAGGCCAGTAAAAACAGTAAGTAAAATTATAGTTTTATAAACTTTAATCTTCATGATTTATATACAAATATAAGTTATCATAGTACTCACATCAATTTGCAAAACTGCCATTCAGATTAAACTGATGAGTGAAATCAGTTTTATCACCATAATATGTATTTGTCGCTAGTGCCAACATCAATCACATTGGTATTTAAATTATTATCAAAAACTAATATACTCCATTATTAAAATATGTAAACAAACATACACGGTGTTTTGTAAACTCACAGCAAAGCTACAAAATTGAACTTACTTCAGTATATAATTCATTAGAGATTATAGTGCATAAAAGATGAACGTTTTGAGATGTTGGTAAAGTAAATGATGATGGGACATAATAATTTTATTCTGGAATGATAAGTGCTTAGTGGTTGTCTTTAGACTGTGTAGTTGTTGTGTTATATTCTGTGATGTAGTAGTAGTAGTAGCAGTAGCAGTGCATTGTAGCATATATCTGCATGCGCCTTGTAGTAATCAGCAATAATTACTCTTCTCATCAGGAAGATTAAATATCTAATTTCATTAACTAAAATGTTTAAATCATGGTTGCCAACTACCAGATAGAATCTAGAACAGTCATTGGAGGGGTTGTGTTAAAAAAATTTAAATTGTATTTTCTAGTTATATAAGTTTCTCAAGAACACAAAGTTTAGAATGAATACATATTCTGTAACACATGCAAATTTTGAAAGAGTGAAACAATTGTTTGTGAGTGATTGAAGAAATTATGTCACAGTGAATGACAACTGCACAAAATCCACATTTACTTTTAATGTAATTATGACTGATAATTGATTAGATGTAATAGCTAAGGACATGATATTAAATTTCCTATGTGACATATATAACCAAAAGTACATGATTCATTCTTGTGGTTTGAAAGTATTGACTTTGCATTGATCCAAATCAAAAGTATTATGATGATAGATTTTCAGGTAATTTATGTTTGGCAATTGATCGGTTTTAATTTGTAATTCCACCAAAATAAATTAATTCAGATGAAATTATTTTGGTGACACTGGGTTGCAGCCTCAAATAAAAACCAGACTTACACAGACCAACATAGTACTGTCACATGTGTTGGAAGTTTATGTGCTGGCAAGTGTTCCTTCTTCACTTTATACTGGACACTGTTTTTTACTCCAAGTGGCCGCGTGGGCCTTGTGCCACTTGGTCACAGGGACCGTGGGTTCGAATCCCACTCAAGACATGGATGTTTGTCCACATCTTTCTGTGTTGTGCTGTCCTGTGTACAGGTAGAGGCCTTGCGACAGGCCGATGACTCATCTAAGGAGGCCTACCAACTGTCTGTAGATCAAAGCCAGTGATAGTTGGGACCTGCAGATGCTCAGTCAATAACTGATCTTCTCCATGGTCTCTTTTTCTGTTATGCAGATGTGACAGTTTTTCATGTGTACTACTGTTTTTCTGATGATTTCACTTTTGTTTTGTTAGGGTGGCAGTATGCCAAATACAAGCAGCAGTGTGCCCTTCCTGCTCAGTTCCAGCATGAGCAGCATTCGCTCTCGCCGGCCTTCCGCCTGCTTGTCGAGCTCGCAGGGGTCAGGCCTCCTGCAACAGCTCGGCTCCGGCATGGTAAGACAACTCACACTGGGATCCTCCTATCAGCACCCGGCCAACGGAAGGGCATTCCCTAGTAGCAATGTAAGGAAATGTCCTTCCTGTGTGTGACTCTCAACAAAACTCTTCCAAACTTTGCTGCTGCTGCTGCTGCTTCTCATTCGTGCTTTGTCGATATACTTGTTGCATATTACATGTGAGGAGTTTGTCCTTACATTTATGTCCTCGTTACCGCTCTTTTAATGGGTTTAAGTGCATTGCTTTTGGACCATGGAAGATTTACTTTCCAGGAAATTGTTCTTGAGTCTGGAAGTAATATTTCCTGTGGTCAGTGCCTTCCATGTTTTCTCCTCCATTTGTTACTTTGTTATATTATTAACCAACAAATTAACTTTATCTTGAGAAATATAAACTCATTGTTTGAGATGAGTGATATATTTGTTAACCACAGTCCAATGCTTGCATTTAGTTTGTGTCTTGTTAAAATAGTTACTGCAGTTAATCTTGAATTATCCTTTGTGAAGTAAATCATGTTACTTATTTTCTATATGCATAAAGAGACCAAGGTAACAAGAAAAAACGAAAAGAAGTTCCTATTGATTCTTGTCTTCCTGGTCATTGTATGTTTTGTGGAACAAGTTCAACATAATTCATTTTCCCATGGATAATCAGTGTAACCTACATACTGATATGCCCTTAACCTTTGTTGTTTGGTTATTTTCTTTAATTAGATGTGTTCTTTCAGTTCAAAATACATTATTTTTGTATCAGGAAAAGTTTGCTATCCAGAAAATTACCATTGCTACTGTAAGTAATATTAACAGGAGCCACTGCCTTTACCATGATGGCTTTTTACCCCATGTGTGAACAGTAAATAGGTATCATAGATTTTATGCAAGGGACTGTCCAGAAGTGAGTAAAGGCAAGTTAACATTTTTGTTTATAGTACAGGTCTAGGAGGAATTGAACCAATGCTCTGCAAATACATTGCAGTGAATCACAATATAGCAAATGATGCATATAGTGCATATCAGTATATTCTATTCAACTCATCAGTGTATCACGTGCCTACCTCTCTTTTAATTATCTATATTGCTTTTCACCATAATTCACATTTTAACTTTAATACATATATCAGAATCCGGTTATGAAAACCAGCAATGGATGGGGGGGTTCGTCGTGCTGACCACACGTCACCCTATATCTGGTTGGATGATCGTTCACCTCTGCTTAGGCATGTGAACCTGAGGCCAGCAGTCAAGCTAGTCGGCTTTGGCTCGCATAGGGCTGTTATGCCACAGATTTAATTTTACGTATATCAGCATGCATTTTTAAAAAATCAACAACAGAATCTCCAAATTCATTGCCCTAATAACAGTGCCTCCATCTTGAGAAGCAAAGGTATGCTATATTAAACTACACTCAAATCCTTGTGATATAGTTCAATTTGTATTCAGGGAAGTTCCTACCCAAGACCCAGTGCTATTTTGGGTTATCACTGTTACAGGGATTTTCGTAAATTTCCTACATTCATTATCACAGTTGCTTCGCTGAGCAATGTCTACTTCAGATTTAATTCTCCACAGCTTACTTCTAAAGTAAACTATACTGTGAGTAATACCTCTGATCCCAATGCTTTAAACCTAAATATCAAATGACATAACCAAGTCTGAGATTGAAGTCATGTAAGTGTTCTGATTTATTAAGAAATTAAGATTTTCTGCTTTATTTTTCATCTTACAAAGAAAAACATTACTTTAGAAGAGTTTTATTATCTGTTATGCCACAAATACATAGATGTGGCACATGTTAACAGAGAAACATACCATTCTCATTCTCTGCGAATCAGAAGTTGGCTTGACTCAACATAAACATGTATCTGTAAGTTCAGTACTAACTTCTGGAGTTAACTTCATGATTGTTGTTTTTTTTTAAAGGAATGTTCAATTATAACCTGCACCCTAGTAGCTTTGTACCCTGTGCAGTCTTTTCCACTATAAGTATGTGCAGACATCTTGTGGTGACAAGTGTAAGTTGTAATACTTGTATTTCAATGCACTTAATTTGCGTATACAGAAAGAAATGCTATACACCTGTACTTAATCTTCTCATTTGCCTCTGCAGTCAAGTCTCTGCCACTTATGTTTTCTAGGAAAAAAGTGCTGTCTCGCTGTGTTGTGATAATGCTTTACTGCTTAAGTATGTCAAGATCTTATTCTGTTTGCAAATTCTTGTGTGCATTTTTCATGTTACTGTTCACTAAAGGTATTACAGAACAGGGGCTCTCAACCTGTGGCCTGCCAATGTGCTTTATGCTGCCCACATACATTTTTGTAATATATTGCATCTATCTGTATGATGAAAAATAGTTACCTGGTATCAGGAAACACATCTCATTAATGTTGTCAGTATTTGACAGTCTCATTGTCTGTGAATAACTTTCAAGCTTAATGGAAAACATTAAACCAAGACTTAGATAAGATCTTATTCATCAACAGTTGGAGGAAATGTACATGAATCACATTGGTGAATATTGCGTCACAAGTGCAGTGAAGTCCACATTTATTTTTTCTTATTGTGGTAAGAACATTAGGAATTTGACAAAATAGAAAAATTATTAAACGTGTTTTATTTTATTACAAAGTTATTTCCATGGTAAGGGTAATGAGTACATTTGTTTCCACAAATGAATCTGTCTGTTCTTATTTTCTCAAGTTACATTGCATGCCAAGTCACTGCTGAAGACAGAGAACATGCCATTGTATTCATCACAGGAATTTATTTTACAATTCATGTCTTCAGTCTACAGTTGTTTCACAAGGATCAAATTTTCTAATGTATATCCAAGTAATTTTCTTCAATAGCCAAGGAAGTAGAATTCTTTCATTTACTGCACCTGAAAGTTACATATAATAACTATATATCACTTTTAAAATATGTTTCTTTCCAAGTATTCATGTGTATGTCTCTTCTCCAGAAACTCTGAAAGAATTTTGATGAAACCTGTTATTAGGGGACTATACCATAAGCTGCAAGGCACATTTAACTTTTATTTGCATCAGATAAGTCCTACTGTATATTAAGCTCAAATGTAACAGCAATTTTCTCAAAAACTGCTCATTATCCAAAGAATTTATGTATGACAAAATATAGATTGCATTAATATCAACAACTTACAGCTAAAACACTTGCTTTCATGTAATATAAAGAAAATAATTTTTAATTCTGTGATATTTGTTGTGTGATCAGCTTTGCAGCAGTAAGCTTTTATTTGTAGTAAATGAACATCAGGGGAAATGAAGTATGCAGAATCAGAAAGGATGCATTTGGAAGATTTCTGTAGTCTGTTGGAGTAATCTTTCCTCTTTTATCAATTACAAAGTATTAAACTAGCCCTGTTATTCCTGCCTTCGAAGGTTAGTGGACAGCTTTCAGCAAATCAGTCGGTGTTTGTAATGAGCAGTGACTCCTTATTCATGGTTCACAGACTTGAGAGTGAGCTAATATTATTGGTATGGGAATGTTGAACTAGTTACGTAGATGCATGCGTATGAGGGGGATTAAAATTGTAATAAGAAACAAATTAAAGCAGCTATAAAAGAAACTGAATAAATGGGAAAGTTGCGATTTCACAGTTGGGAGTTCACCACATCTGTCCTCTGTGTATTTCACTGGATGTCTTCTTGCTGTCTTTAATGCCTGTTTATGTATGTAGTTTGTATTGAATGACTGTTTTAAAGATGTGTTTGTTTCTTTTTAATTTTAGTTTTACTTTAAACTAAAATATAGATTAGCACATAAAATATGTTTTAATATTGTACTCCTTCAGTGAAACTTCATTACTATGTTCATTTATGAAATAAGTATAACAATGGTGAAAACATGCTTATGAAAGGGAGAATTATGTTGTTAAATAACTATAGCTGAGGACAGTAGGAGTGTATAAGTAAGATTTTAAATTATTATGGCAAATCAGTGCATTAGTGCCATCTTGGGTGATCAACCATGTCAAAGTTCAGTTAAAAGTCATTGTTTTGAAGACATAAATTGCATGGTTGACTTTTCCATGATGTTAACAGTAAAATTTGATTTAATGGGCTAATAGGGGGAAGAAGTGTCCAGTAAATTGCAAAAAAAATTTTACGATATCAGTAATGCATTCTTAGACCATAATTTCCTTTAGGAAGACTGTTAAACAGATTAGTAATGACACAAGGTTTATTAAAATTCTGCAGTGTAAAGTTATAATTAAGCACAAAATAAATGCAGTGCTCATTAATAGACATTTTCTGTTTTATCAGACGAAGTCCATTAGAACCGAAAATGTCCAGTAATGCCTCGCGTCCAAAAAATATTTGGCAATACTAGACAGTATCCGTTAAATCTGAAACCTGTTAAATTGAGGTTTTATTATATTTGTCATACAAGAAACCAAGAAACTTGTTGTAGAACCTGAGAGTTCATCACTGACAGACACTGAATTGAATGGAATTTATGTCATGGTGTGTTTTTAGGACCCATTTGAATGTCATTTTTCCATCTATGCCTCACTGTCTTGTTCCTCTCGTTTATGCCTTGAATTTGGATGCAGTATTATAAATTTAATATAATTAGTGGAGAAATAAGACTCACTGTTAGAAACTAAATTAATTTATAAATTAGTTAATTAACATTTGATATAAACTTCCTTCAGTAATTTTTAATTATCTGGCCAGTTAAGAAATATCCTGTTACAGAATCCAAAGGTTGCTTTGTGGTATCACTAATGCCTACCTGTCCAGAATCACACATCTGCACAGCCAACTTATTCTGCATCCCTTTTTATGTTATCGTCTGTGCATGCCTGTGTCTCTGAGCAGTCTCTTTGCTATTTCACATTTAAAATATTACGTACATGCTGCATCTTCTAGTCATGTCATCTTCCTTGATTTAATTATTGGTTTATTTGTTAAGATGGATTATAAAAATAAAGTTCTAAATGTACAAGTCACTGAAGAGCATAGTAATGAAGTTATACTAAATTTGATGATGAGTTTACATAAATTGTGGTGGCTACATGTTCTGCAGTAGAACTTCCTGAGATCAGTATGCCTGTTTTTTTATGTCAATTGTTACGTATTCCAGAATCAGTATCTCACTGTTAATTACTTTATTTTGATGTTTCAGTATCAGCTATTTTCGGGAAGGTCCTAGACACACCAGTGATAATCTTGGATTTGTGAGTCATATTTTCATAGCGTGAGCTTTAGAGTGATGTGATATGGAACTCCTTCATGAGGAACCTGACCAAATGCTAGAAAAATGGATAAGTAAGTATATGAGTAGCCTTTGTGACCATTGTCCACTTTAAAACCTTGGTTTTGTGTTGTTTAGATGATATTTATGTGCAGACTTGATGATTAATCCTACAGAAACCCAAGTCACAACTAATTGATGGAAACCAGCCATGATATTCATCTACAGCAGGCATGTCAATCTAGCTGAGTGAGTCAGGTATGTTTTTAATGCCCACAATAAACTAAAAGATACTAATCATGTTGAACACAGAAGTAATAACAATGTAGCAAATAAACGATAAGATGAACATGGACAAAACATTTAGTGTAAAAGTACTCCACATTTTCTGGATTGCTACTAACACTTCACAAAGCTTGGAAGCTCTTAGAGCCAGAAGCATGTGTGTGTGTGTGTGTGTGTGTGTGCGCGCGTGAGTGCGTGTGCTTCCCCCCCCCCTCCCCCCAATATTCCTAGTTATGTAACTGGCAAGAACAGCTTTCAGGAGCCCTGTTAATGTTTAGGCGTGAATAACATTTAAGTACCAAAGAAAGAAATAATTTTTAGGTACTATACTTTAGAGCCTTCAGATACAATGTGATGAGTGGAAATTCGTTTTAAGTGTTTGTTTATAAAGCCATATTGACTTGACAGATTTGTAAATTACATTCGCAGCTAGCGGTAGCTTTTTGCCATATTTTCCTGAAAGCGTACTTCTGCGACAGAAAAGTAAAGGTTGAGTCGGCCCTGGTGCTTAACCAACCATCATACCATATGGATGTATGGGGGAGTGGAGGTACAGCTGCATGCATTCTTGACCTCAATACTAGGAGGAGGTGAATGATCAGCTTCATGCCCTGGACACTTTACCTCCAAGGAAAGAACCCCAAACCAGGTACCCATTAGATAGGAGGGTACATGGGCACCAGCTCTGGTCTGGGCATTGTGATGAAGAGAAAAATCTTGCCCTGTTAGGAATTGAATCCTGGTCATCCAGCCTATACCCTAGTTGCTATACTGCCCCAGCTTGCGTTTACAACAAAATCTAAATTGAAATTGTTAAATTCTAGTACTAAATTTTAATATAATCAGATACAAGTATAAGGGGTTTCATAATGAATTAAATTGATATTATTAAGAAGATTTTAAGCAATCTTCAAAATTCTCATCTTTCCCTCATGTGCTATTTGCCACACCCATCTCATCTGCCTTGATTTTATTATCCTAATAATGTACATATATTGATTTCCTAATTTATGAACACAGGAATATAAAAATTAAGCTTTCTGTCTAGCCAGTTACATCTGTATATTATTATAAGTGCTGTTTCAAAAAAGACTTCAGGTCGGGTGATTTAATTTTCTTTACATGTGGCTCACTCGTCACATGTTTGACATGCCTGTTTAACGACGACACTTCACAAAACCGAAGATGTAGCTCATGTCATCTTAACAAGTCAAGTTCCCAGGGAGTAAATCAGTCAATAAAAATTTGGAGATATTCACTTTGGTTAAGAGAAACTTGAACAAAGCACTTGAGTTGTTTTGTGCAACATCCACAGGAATTACTGCAATTCAAGGTCATTCTAGTATTTAATAATAAAAAAAAAAGTGGCACAAGTCCCTTTCCCTTGTGCCTTTTCATCTGTTTTTTTCCTTTAGTATGTCAAGAATCAACAGTTCTTCTTGGTTCCAGCATACAGTACTGACCCAGTAGTTTGTGTTAGTAATTGTAAGTGAATGCATGATTTTATTTATTTATGATATTCAGTACTAATCAATAACTTGTATGTATGTGAAGTATTTGATTGATTAGAAATCATAGCATTTAATGCAGTTCAAAATTGAAGATTGTACAGTAAGGATAACAAACAACAGACTCTGTACCGTAAGATTCATAAACCACATAAAGAATAATGTCTGTGCTCTCATACTTACAGTCTCTGTATGTTCAAACCTTGTTTTATTGCGTGCTTGTGCTCGACTGTGATGCAGCAGGCTGCACTGTCACTTGTTATAAAGGGATCCCAGATAACCTTACTTCTGTCACAGAAGATCCAGTTGTTTAGCCTTTTAATATTAGGTGCTACTGCTCAGCTGATTTGGTGTTGGCTTCTGATTTAAGATTTGAGGTAATGAATGTGGGAATTGTGGTGGATGAATGTGACAATAGAACAAGTTGCAAAAGTACAAACAGATTGTAGAGAAAAGTTGAACAAATTTTATGCCCAGTACACTCTTTATGCGTCTTATGGTTTTCAGGATAGTTAAAACAAAGTGACTTTCATGTTGTAACATCTCATTCATGAAGTGAAAATTTAGAGCCAGTAACAGAGTAAATGCACAAGAATTGTTATACTTCATATACATTTATTAACTTTTCAGATTTCCCCATCTTCTAATTTTATGATGCATTTTTTGAGGACATACAGAATGGAATAGACAAACAGTGGCTTTTATATGCATGTAACCACTTCTTTTTAAAGGAGTCAAGATACTGCTTTAGCAGAGTTACATGGTATGACTCTTTTGTTAAGTAATTGTAGTATGACATGAAAACCTACTGTCCTGAAGCATGATACAGAATAAATGTCCATGAATAATACTATTTTGTGCTACTGTTTTGTTGTTTTCTGCATTCCATAAATAAATTTAATGGTGAAACTATTTTGTCTGTCTCTCTGTAAGCTTCATCTTGCAAAAAACTCGATGGATTTCGATAACATTTGGTAAGAGTTGTGAAAAATTTATTTTGATCTGCATTGTTCCACCATAACACTTAGATTACATGTAGATCAAATCAGTCATGAAATTTCTCAAAAAATGTGAAAAAAAGGAAAGATAAGTTTGATTTTTGACATGTGTAAGCATACTCTGTTGCTCTTATTTGAAAGACTTCATAACACTGTATTTAATGAATACAGGAACAAAGATTTTGCTCTAATATTGCAACACTTGATTCCCTTTTCAGTAATAGATGTATGCTGCATGTAATGTACTATATTTATATTTTATTTGTATCTTACATTAACATCAAGACTGTATGTACAGAGGTATGAAGTCACAGACAGCATGTTTTCAAACTCTCTGTACTACAAAATGGAGTGTATCTTTCCACTCCTCTTCTCTTCAAGTTCTTTCCTTTCTGCTTTTAAACATGTTAATAACACTGGGATCCCTGTCATTCTTGCCCAACACTTCAATTGGAATTTATTTTCGTCTATAAATATGAATACATCTATAACATAGAAACCCAGTTTCATTATTCTTCCCTTAGTCTTCCTTCATCATTGGAAATAGAAATCTTCTATTTAAGTCCTTGCATAGCATATATAAATGTGCTTTTGAAAGATTTATCAAATTTCAAATCAATAAAAGATTCTTTTCATACATGGGCTATAAGTTGGACTAATGGAACAATCGAATCCAGAATTTTATTAATCCAGCATGAAGACAATTTTTCAACAGTGCTGAATATATCTGATAATCAGATCTCCTTTAATTCTAAACCCCATAATACATGCATATAATACTTCTTCTATGGAAGTAATGTGTTTGTAATCTGTGTTAATTAAGATTTTTCATTGTTAGCTATAAGTAAGCTGTTCTTCTGCCTTGTATAATATTCCTTGACAATCCAACATAAAAATGTCAGATATTTTTTCAATAACTAGTGGTGTAATAGAATGTATGTGTTATGTGATGTTTTCCATATCATTTGCCTTCACCCAAACAGTTTCTCCCTTTCATATCATATTCATAAGATGTGGAAGGTTTCAGTCATGCTGTAGTATTTTTTCTTGGGACTTCAGACATCAAGAACAAACCAAATACCAAATATGTTGTATATTTTGTCTGTCGGAAATTGTTGAGTTTATGAAGTGGCACACCAGTAATTGTCACAGAATAAAATGTTTTAAAATCTATGTCACCAATGCCTGAAATTAACATAAATACAGTCCTTTCTGAAAATGTTTTACTCAAAATTCTTGTCTGAAGAAAAAAAGAACTTTTTGTGATGTCTGCAGTGTATTTGGTGCATTTGACTGTGTGTGCACGTGCATATGTATGTGTACTTACAGAAGCAGAAGAAAACATATCAAGTGTTAATACATTTCCTTTGCAGCTACTAGTCACAATATAAAATACTAATAATTTACTACATAGAGTCAGTAAAGTCTGCTCTGAACCAAGTGCATAAATCTCTCAATCCTTAAACTGCAGATAATCTGGGGTCTGAAGTAATAAGAAAAAATACGGCACATTAATATTCTTCCTCGCTTCTTTAAGAAAAAGCTGTGATTTCTTGGAACTTTTTCTACTTAATAACCCTCCAATGGTTGCACCACTTGCTCAACATAGTTGGTAGCATTTTGTCTTCTTTATTTGTATGCCATGAGACTCGTTTCCTTTGGAGTATGGAATGGTATGTGAGAAATAACATTATGAATGTTTTGCCACAAGACAATCTCTAACTGTAGTGTTGCACAAAAAATGACAATATCGTCAAACCACATTGCAACAGAGGTAAATGGCTATACTTTGAATAATCACTGGATGGTCTTCAGTAAACTAATTTCACATTCCCCGCTCCCTGATGCTATAACTTCATGTTCCTATAAGGAAATCAAACTTATATGACATCAGTAACAGTAATAGATATCAACAAAACTTAGTGCAAGTGATGAAGTTACAAAACCTGACTTGAGTTGGTACACTATATAAGAACATAAAATTTTCCTAAGATATTTTGTCTACCATGCAATTTTATGGTATAAATAAGAAAATTGAACTTGGGTAGAATGTTAAACAAATACTCTAATTAATTTCAAATATAAAGTACTTGTAAAGGAAATACTATAAGGAACAGTTTTTGTAAACAGGTAACATGGTGATGAAGTAAATGAAATTATACTGCATTATAAATTATTTACACACAAATGGATAATAAATAGTTGAAATCTCTGACAGTGTAGATGATTAAAGTTTTCTCAGGATGTATCCCATCACCATGGATTTAAATTCAACTGTGATTGAGCCACAGAGCTAGACAGAAATTAGTTGAACCAAGGAAAATCTGCATCATTCTTCATAACTGTCAGTCCCTTAAAGAGTCAGTTTAAGAACTGAGCTTAACAACTAACAAAAAGAAATATTCATAAACTTTGGTAGTGGCATTCCTTTATTTCGGAAAGAGTAGTTATACCAGTCATACTTGCTAAAGATTAAAGAAATGAACTATGCACTGAAAATAGTCTCTTTGACTTACCAGAGCAATCAATTTACATGTGTACATGTGATAAAATTCAGTTTTGAATGTTACCTTACAAACTTTCTCGTGGCCTGTGTTCTAATCTTGAAGAAGACCATACAAAGCAGTTTGTTCCTCAGTCACTAGCACTATCTTTTGTCTAACTCACTGCTATTGTTTGCACATGTCTTTGTATAACATTATCAAATCAAAATGTACCTTTATAGTAATATTGTTCAGGTATTTTCAATCTTTAAAAGCCCAGTTATCATGGAAATAAATTATGCAGTATTTTTGGATAATTATCGGTGTTCTGCCAACATGTGATGGAGATTCAGAAAGTAAGGTAAATATTGGAATATTTTTGTTGTACTATTGGCAACACTGCTGGGGCAGTCATACTGTAGCTTGAGGTCAGTGACATGCTGCAAGTGTACTCCATTTTGTGCCAAGTAAGTGTGGCATAAAGATGGTTGCTACATTAGAAACTTGCACCAAGGATGAGCAACATTAATGCCCAGTCTTGCAGCAGTTTCCACAATAGTTACCATACAGTTTCCAAGAATCATGCTCCATGTTTTGTTTATTTGTTAACGTGGATAGGTATTCTTACTTGTCTGCAATAAAAACACTGGTCCAGCTGTTATTAAACATTTTGATCCACTCATATACAGTTCATTGTGGCAAACAATTCTGTCCCTACTTGACAGCCAATTGTCAATGGATCTCTGAACCATTCATTCCTTCAAATGCTAAGAAACACACTGTTGCATGTTGCTTGTTCTTGGTGCAAACCTCTTGTCGAGCAGTCATCTTTATACCATACACATTCAGCACAGACTACAATACAACTGAACCACAGTCAGCTTACCTGTCACTGTGACCTTGAGCTACAGCATTATCAGGCGTCAGCAGTGGTGCAAATCACACAGAAAATATTCCAATATTGCCTTTACTTTTTGAACATGCTCCATATATATTTTGTGTTGTATAACTGGCGCAGATTACCTATTCATATCAATTTAGTTTTAGAATTGTATTTGTTTACTGTCTCTTTCACAAATTTGTCCATGGTATAGTGCCAGAGATTCACTGATAACAGAAATTATATTTTATTCCTAAAATGGACTCCCATGGTAAGGGAGATACATTATTCATGCTGGTCGTGCCTCTGCCCTGTGTCATTTCCACTCTCAACTGATCAAGTAACCTTATTGTGGAGGGGGCAATTACTTCACTACAAATAATAAAAAAGGGAATTATGGTAACTGTATCAAACATTTTCTTACTGGTATATGAATTACCATTTGTCAAGGATTACTAAAAATTCTTCATGTTGTATATGTATATAGTAAGTTTAAAAATTAACTTTATATATCTGATCCTCAGATCCATGTCATGTATGTATAAATGTATTTATGTACAAAATATTGTACATATGTTAGATTATAATTAGTATGTATGTCATTACATTCGTATGTGTGTGACTGGAGAACAAAAAGGTTGAGGATAAGAAATCTTTAACGTATAATAAATAATGTGTCATTTCATTTATAATCCGCATACTCAGTCCCTTAAGTTTTCCTTACATTCCTAATATTGTCAAAAAAAACAAATTAAAAAGTGTAGATTTCTGTATATTTGACATTTTCTGTAGGTTTCTCAGTAATGTAGATTACTTCCTTTTTGGGTATTGTAAAGGAAACATCTGATTACTCGAGCTAGTGATTGGAGAAGACGAAAATTGAAAAACATGGATAATCCAAAACATTTTGTTTGGAACATTCACAAAATGTCACAAGTTATTGAGAAATTTTTAAGGAGTTGTCATTAATTTTGATAAATAGTTTGTAATGGTTGCTTGTTCTTGTTAACTTTTTAAACTACAACTCAACAACAGTACGAATTTTCCTAGCATCTATAATATAACTGTATTTCAACCCTCTCTGTCAAGTGTCAACATACTGCAGTGCCATGCTGTTACTGACAATGCTGACTACTGTCTCCTCCTTCATTCCCATCCTCCACACCCTTTTCTTTTCCATTTTGTTTCACAGCAGCATTAACAATGTCTGTGTCTGCCCTGTGCTGGAAGCCCAGTTTACAATATCTTTTGCAGCCATTTTTCAACATTATCATTGTTTTCAGAACTTCTCATAGCATACACCATGTCAAGAATTCTGAACTTGCTGATTTCTTAGTTAGGAAAACATTGCACATCATAATCTGGAAGAATTTTCCTCCATAGCAAACGAGCATTACTGGATTCACAGAAGACCATGCCTAAGACATACCATATGTAGTAACCACCACCATAATTTTTCCCCATAATGATGTTATGTTGTCTTCAATGGCAATTGTTCTGAGAATGTCAGCCTGGTAGCGTCATTTTATAGATCCACTCTTTACTCCATTGAAGTAGTTTGAACAGCTTACATTTTATGAACATTGATACGTAAGCACTTAATTCACAGGAGTTGGTGAACCGATGAGGATAACTTTGGCAATGGACATTGTTCATGGGGACGGTCGCTTTGTGACACAAGTCTATTCCAAACAATGGTAACTTCAACACCCTACTAACTAGACCATCACAGTAAGGCAGTTTGGGCAATGGACCAAGTCAATCTGCATGACTCCATGGCAGCTTGGATGATCTGGCTCACCACAGCGATTGTTGCAATCTGTATACCCAGTGGTGAGCAAAAAGATTAAGACAGTAGTAGTGTGTTGGATTACATAACATTAATGACAATAATCATGAGAAATCAGTTGGAAGTAGCTAATAGAATCACAAAGACAAGAGTGGAGTATTCACATATTTCCTTACGTCTGTAACTGTAGATATGTGTAAACAGTAGAGTAGTGACTATTATGAGGTCAAGGAGGTTTGACCTCTCCTAGCTGCCCCTACACAACAAGGGGTTAGGTGGAATTATTCTAGCAAGTGTTGTTCAGTGGTTAGATAGGTTCCTGCAACAATTGCCAATGTAGGTGACTGAGACATGTTTTCAGTTTTAATACCACACAAAGTCATTGGTTCTGATGGGTACAATATTTAAATTAAACATTATTAAATGTATTAATAATAGACTATTATTTGTGTTACACAGAACACCAGTCCTTTTAAAAATCCAAGTCAAAGACTTGAGTCAAGGTCACTCATCTCCCAGCAAAGATTCAAACCATGCCATCCAGCTAATACATTTTCACTTGCACTCTTACCATATCTTGTACCGTCTGGATGAAAGTAAATTAATTTCAGGCTGTCTAAACCTTGCACTAGTTTTGGTTAGATGGATATGAGTAATCAGCTTCACATTCCAGTCACTTAACCCTGTGATCATTTGGATAAATTAAGATCTGACCCCTCAGCCATTCTCTGTGTTGGCACTCATGATGCTTCATTTCTATTTCAAACAAAAGGCTACCAGCAAAAAATGAAACCAAGTGAAACATAACACTCGCAACAAATTTAGCAAGCTTTTGTTTTATTAACACTTTCATTATACAAATGTGCATAACACTGTCAATTTCCTGGATGATGATAAAAACACACTTCATTTTTAAAGATGGCACACAGAAAAAATGGTGACATAGATTCAAATTTGGGCAACCATAAAACTGCAGCAAAGTTTAATTTCCTACATCAGCCAGACTATAGAAAGCTGCAAAATGATAGTGGAATGAATATTTGATGAAAATTTATTTAAAAACTCTGTACTACAATATAAAGTAATGAAACCATGTCTGCTTCTCAAAAGTACATCAATGGGACAGAAATGCTGTTTGTATTACAATGACCAACATGATACTCTATTTCTTCAACAGATTGATAGGTACATTCAATGGGTTGAAACCTTGGATTTTGTTCAAGTTCTTCATAACTGCTTCTGGTGACACAGGGTCTAAGTCAGGCTACAGGAAAAGAAAAACAATAGACATGTTCATAACATATTTCAAATATGTGGTGCAAATAAATATTCATTTCAGTTACTACAAACTGAAAAGCAGTCACACATCAACTTCACTGTTACAGTTACAAATAAAATTTCATTATCTATGAAAAAACATATACACATTAGTCACTGTTTACTAACACTGCTGTTATAGCTAATATATTTTATGTAAGATTTGAGGTTTTCACAGCGGTGAGTATGAAGCTTTCTGTCTTCTGGGTTCCTGCTCTGTGTAGTCTGGTCGATACTTACCAACATTTCAGAGGTCACACTGCCTCTGTCATCAGGGCGGATGAAGGAGGCAGTATGGCCTCCGAAACGTTGGTAAACATCGACCAGACTACACAGAGCAGGAACCCAGAAGACAGAAAGCTTCATACTCTGATGACGGAGGCAGTATGACCTCTGAAACGTTGGTTAACATCGACCAGACTACACAATGCAACAACCCAGAAGACAGAAAGCTATTATATTTTATTTACTACTGTCACAAGTTAGACCACATTTAAGCCTTCCATGTCTATTTATTTTGTCAAATCAGTTTCATTCTTGTAGATTAGGCC